AAATTTCAATGATTTACAGTGTTGCATAACCATAAGTAATTGTCATTTAAAGTGCAACAGCGCTGAAAATTGCCTGGGCAGAAAGGGGGTATAAGTGCCTGGTAGGCAAGAGGTTACAACTCTTTTCCAGCCTGTTCTGTAATGTAAATGCCTCCATGAGCATCGTCCGCTTCACTCAGTTATGTAGCTAAGCTAAATGTTACTGAAGGGTAGTCAGGTAATGACTGTGAATTGTACTGACAACTCTGCTCTTCCTACTATGTGTGTCCCCCACACAGCAGGCACTCAACACAAGCACTGCCCGGGCAGCTAGTAGGAGGCGGGCACGTCTACAGGGAAGCAGAAGATGCCGTATTTTATGCATTACCGGCTCCTTCTTCCTGGAACGGGCCCACCGAGTTTTTGAATCACAGAGCCATTGGCCAAATGAAAGCACTTGCTGTATTTTTCATTGGCTGAGGGAACAGGCTGACGATGCTTGAAGAGGGATTGGATAAAAATAATGTATTCTAATTGGTTCTTACGCTAAGCCTCTTTTCTGGTGCAATGGGCTGGCTATTGTCAGGGGGATGTACAAAGCTGCACTCTGATTGGTTGTTGTGGTGTTTGTCATATGTCACAGTTTTCGAAAGCTGGACGCTCGGCGCTCAATGCGGAGCTGATGTTTATAGAAAGGTGTCTTTATAAGGATGGAGTATAGGAAGTTTGCCTGAGCAATACAGTGCAGAGATGTTTTGGTAGGTTAGCTGTCTATCCAGTTCACTGAGCTGTATTAGGTAGTTACGATACACTATATAATCAAATCTGAAAATCGGCTTTACATTGACCACAACTATCCAATATGACATCTGTACAATCCATTCCATTTGTATCAAATCCGACAGGCCTCAGCACTACACAGTTTATGGTAGATCTAAAGAGGAATGTAAAATCAGATTGTATAGTATGTATATGGCCAACCTAAAATCATTGTAACTCCTGTTTATTTATTTTATTGTTTTGCTGATCACATATTACCATTTTCCGACTGCTATAGCTGAAAGACGGCTACAATGCGGCCATCTGATTCTGGGAGGGGTCCATAGACTCCCGCTGTGTCACTGAGGAAAGGAGAGCTGATAACCGTCAATCCCTGACAGCAGCACGCATTTACACTGATAATCAGGGCACTGATCATCAGTGCAGATAATTCGTGTCCATCAGTGCTGCCTATCAGTTGCACCTTATCAATGCAGCCTCATCAGTGCAGCCACATCAGAGCAAATCAGTGAAGAAGAAAATGTACTTATTTGCAAAATTTTATAACTGAAATTAACTGCTTCCCGACCGCCCTATAGCAGAAATACTGCTACGGGCGGCACGGTTGTGGAAAATCACCCATATATACGTGATTTGCACTTCTGTGGTATTCACGGGCCAGGGGGTATGCACGCCCCTGCCGACCCGCAAGTGCCGTGATTTGATCCCCAGGGATCAGTCATCCGACTTAGGCCAGTGATGGTTGGACTAAATTGGATGATTGAAGCCTCTCCTATCAGGGACCTTTCTGTACCTGTGTTTATGCAATCTTCTCTCTCTGGGCACATTCCATCCCAGAGAGAGAAGAATCAGGACACAGTGAGTAAAAGCAGCACACTTTTACAGTTAGAACACTTTTAGGTCACATTTAACCCCTTGATTGCCCCACCCCCAGTTAACCCCTTCACTGCCCTGTCACCAGTGTCATTAGTACAGTGTACAGATTGTTTTGCTGATCACTGTATTAGTGTCACCGGTGACTTCAGATAGCGTCAGCGCCCCTCCAAGATAGCGTCAGATTGCCCATCAGTACACCAGTAATCACATTTAACCCCTTGATTGCCAGGAACACAACGCTCACATACACAATTATCCTTCATTGCTAGTATAGTGTCATGAACAGATCAATATCTTTGATCAGATCAACACTATACCAGCGTTCATATTAGTATAGTGTCCCAAAAACGCAGCGTTTAGCGGATCAGCCCCCAGAACCTGCCAGCAGCTGCGTTTTAGCCCCTATGCTTACCCCCCCTCATCTCCCAGCAAGTGCAGTGTCAGTTGGTCACTGTCACTTGACACTTTGCACAAAAAACCACAGTGTTCGCAGAATCAGGGCTGATCTCTGTTAGCATTTGCAGGTAATTTTTTTTGCAGCAGTTCAAGCAGTCCCTGACAGCCAGGCGCTCTTTTTCCCCGTGAGTCGCACTAGGTACCTATAAATTTAGTGGCCAAAATGTCAATGGAAAGGTACTCTAGTGAAGAGGCCTACAGGATTCTGAGCATGTCAGGTGAGAACGAAGGGAAGACTCCCTGACACAATCAGCCTCAGAATACGAACCTGTAGACAGCAGCGGCACCCTGACAGATAGCTCAGACGATGGAGAAGAGGTCCCTGATAAGATCAGTTGTACCTGACCCCATTCCCAGGTTGCTGAGATGTTACAATCGCATGATGACTCTCATATGCAGCAGACTGCCAGTACTAGTACCACTCTACCTTTTGGTGAACTGACAAGCACCAGCGGCCTAGTACATCCTGGTCTTTCACATACCAGCACTGCAGTATCACTTGGTGACATGGCGAGTCCCATAAGTGCAGTACAAGCTGCTGCAGTGGCGAGCAAAAGTAGCAGCCACCAAGAATTTGCACACAGACCCGTAGAGCCCCTAGTATCCTTCCGGATGTGCTTGCAAATCCCGATTTGGCAGCCCACAAATTCTGCAGCACCCATACTTCCCCCATTCACTGCCCAACCTGGAATTCAGGTGGAAACAGCAAATTTAAATACCCCCCTTGTTTTTTTTGGAGCTGCTTTTCAAGGAAGATGTGTATGCATTGATTGTGGATCAAAGCAATTTTTATATGCACAACAGTTTATCGCCGCCAACCCAAATTCAAACCTTGCCAGACCATTCGCATGGAAACCCATTACGGTTTTCTGAATATAAAGTTTTTTTGGGCCTAACTCTCAATATGAGCATTACTAAAAAAAATTAATTGTGGTTGTATTGGTCCACAGTCCCGATTCATCATATGCCTGTGTTCTCTGCTGCCATGGCCAGGCATAGATATGAGAGTATAATGTGTTTTATGTATTTCAATGACAACACACTCTGTCGTCCTCGGTGTGACCCTGAATTTGACCGGCTCCACAAAATTTCGGCCCCTCATAAATCACCTTAACCAAAAATTTGCAGATATCTATACTCTCCAGCAAAACATCTGTGTTGACAAGTCCCTCATGAATTTTTCTGGCCGCCTTGCATTTAAACAATTTCTCCCCAGCAAGCGTGCCAGATATGGGGACAAGTTGTATAAGACCTGTGAGATGACAACAGGCTATACATATAACTTTTGATTTACAAGGGAAAAGATAGTCACATGGAGCCCCCCCAGATGCCAAGACTACATGGGGAGCAGTGGCAAGATAGTTTGGGTGTCAGGGCTCCCAGGTATGACCAGAGATGTGTGACTGACGCAGGGAAACGCAGACTTCAGATATGGGATAAACAATATAATTTATTAACACTAACAATACAAACATAAACGCAGTGCAATACTAAACATAATACAGTGCAAACAAACCAAACCAACCACCCATAGATAACAGTACATACAAGCAAGCGTCGTCAGGCAGGCCGGGTCAATATCAATTGGGCAGGTAGGTACAGGGGGAGCAAGCGGAGAATGGTCGGGGTCACAGGCCAGGTTCAGCAGGTAGCAAGCAGCGTAGTACAGAGGGTCAAGCAGAGGGATGGTCAGGGTCACAAGCCAGGGATCAGAACAGGTAGCAAGCAGCGTAGTACAGAGGGTCAGGCAGAGGGATGGTCAGGGTCACAAGCCAGGGATCAGGACAGGTAGCAAGCAGCGTAGTACAGAGGGTCAGCAAAGGAACAGAAACAGGATGCAGGACAGATACAGGGCCCAGGACAAACACACACCAAGGCAGAGTCTGTGGGTCTGGGCATCCCTTAAATACCCCAGCATAATCAGTTCCAGGTGTTAGCTGGCTGCAAAGTTGAGTCTCTGATTGCTGGGAGCACCCGCTGGCCAGCCCTGGTACTGCAGATCAAAAGGCAGGTGAGTCCCACCATTGCTGGCCAGTCCATTCCTGACAGTACCCCCCCCCCCCTCAAGGAGCGGCCTCAGGACGCTCCAAACAGTCCTAGCTGGGAAAAATGTTCCACCCGCCCGGGTCTGGTAACTGGCGGGAAATCAAAGACTGGCACACCTGGCAGGACTCCGGGCAGCGGTACACCAGGCAGAGGCACATCGGGCTGGACACCGGGCAGAGGCACATTGGGCTGGACTCCGGGCAGAAGCACATCGGGCTGAGGCACACCGGGCTGGACTCCGGGCAGAGGCACACCGGGCAGAGGCACATCGGGCTGGACTCCGGGCAGAGGCACATCGGGCTGGACTCCGGGCAGAGGCACATCGGGCAGGACTCCGGGCAGAGGCACATCGGGCAGGACTCTGGGCAGAGGCACATCGGGCAGAGGGACTCTGGGCAGAGGCACATCGGGCAGGACTCCGGGCAGAGGCACATCGGGCTGGACTCCGGGCAGAGGCACATCGGGCAGGACTCCGGGCAGAGGCACATCGGGCTGGACTCCGGGCAGAGGCACATCGGGCTGGACTCCGGGCAGAGGCACATCGGGCTGGACTCCGGGCAGAGGCACATCGGGCTGGACTCCGGGCAGAGGCACATCGGGCTGGACTCCGGGCAGAGGCACATCGGATTACCAGGCGAAGCAGCAGGCAGCGGGTCACCGGGCGGAGCAGCAGGCACCGGGCCCCCGGGCGGAGCAGCAGGCACCGGGCCCCTGGGCGGAGCAGCAGGCACCGGGCCCCCGGGCGGTACAGCCGGGCCCCCGGGCGGGGAGCAGCAGGCACCGGGCCCCCGGGTGGGGCGCACCACCGGGCATCGGGCCCCCAGGCGGAGCGCGGGCGCCGGGCCCCCAGGGAGGGGCGACAGGCATCGGGCCCCCAGGTGGGGCGACAGGCATCGGGCCCCCAGGCGAGCGACGGGCCCCCATCGGGGGACCCCCCAGGCGGGGCGACAGGCATCGGGCCCCCAGGAGGGGCGACAGGCATCGGGCCCCCAGGTGGGGGGGCGACCAGCATCGGGCCCCCAGCGGCGGGTGCCGGGCCCCCAGGGCGGGCGGGCGGGACAGGCATCGGGCCCCCAGGCGGGGCGACAGGCATCGGGCCCCCAGGCGGGGCGACAGGCATCGGGCCCCCAGGTGGTGCGACAGGTCTCGGGCCCTCAGGCGGGAGCGGCGGGCGCCGGACCCCCAGGTGGAGCGACAGGTCTCGGGCCCCTCAGGCGGAGCGGCGGGCGCCGGACCCCCAGGTGGAGCGACAGGTCTGGGCCCTCAGGCGGAGCGGCGGGCGCCGGACCCCCAGGTGGAGCGACAGGTCTCGGGCCCTCAGGCGGAGCGGCGGGTGCCGGACCCCCAGGTGGAGCGACAGGTCTCGGGCCCTCAGGCGGAGCGGCGGGCGCCGGACCCCCAGGTGGAGCGACAGGTCTCGGGCCCTCAGGCGGAGCGGCGGGCGCCGGACCCCCAGGTGGAGCGACAGGTCTCGGGCCCCCAGGCGGAGCGACAGGTCTCGGCCCCTCAGGCGGAGCGGCGGGCGCCGGACCCCCAGTGGAGCGACAGGTCTCGGGCCCCCAGGCGGAGCGACAGGTCTCGGGCCCCCAGGCGGAGCGGCGGGCGCCGGACCCCCAGATGGAGCGACAGGTCTCGGGCCCTCAGGCGGAGCGGCGGGCGCCGGACCCCCAGGTGGAGCGACAGGTCTCGGGCCCTCAGGCGGAGCGGCGGGCGCCGGACCCCCAGGTGGAGCAGCGACAGGTCTCGGGCCCTCAGGCGGAGCGGCGCAGGGCGCCGGACCCCCAGGTGGAGCGACAGGTCTCGGGCCCCCAGGCGGAGCGACAGGTCTCGGGCCCTCAGGCGGAGCGGCAGGCGCCGGACCCCCAGGTGGAGCGACAGGTCTCGGTCCCTCAGGCAGAGCGGCGGGCGCCGAGTCATCTGGCACGACAGTGGGCTCCGAGTCAACTGGCATGACCGCTGGCACTGGGTCAGACATTGGATCGTCTGGCTGGACAGCGGGCATCGGGTCACCAGGCATCAGGTCATTTGGCTCAACAGCGGGCACCGCGTCATCTGGCAAGGCAGTGGGCTCCGAGTCAACTGGTATGACCGCGGGCACTGGGTCAGACATTGGATCGTCTGACTGGACAGCGGGCATCGGGTCACCAGGCATCAGGTCATTTGGCTCAACAGCGGGCACCGCGTCATCTGGCAAGGCAGTGGGCTCCGAATCAACAGGCACGACAGTGGGCACCGGGTCATCAGGTACCGGATCGTCTGGCTCGACAGCGGGCACTGGGTCACCAGGCATCAGGTCATTTGGCTTGCCAGCGGGCACCGCGTCATCTGGCAAGGCAGTGGGCACCGGGTCACCAGGCATTGGATCATCTGGCTCGACAGCGGGCATCGGGTCACCAGGTATGACAGCGGGCACTGGGTCACCAGGCATCAGGTCATTTGGCTCGCCAGCGGGCACCGCGTCATCTGGCAAGGCAGTGGGCACCGAGTCACCAGGTACGACAGCGGGCTCTGAGTCAATTGGCACGACAGCGAGCACCGGATCAGGTACCGGATCATCTGGATCAACAGCGGGCATCGAGTCAACTGGCCTAATAGGATCGTCGGGCTGGATCAGTTCATCATGCTGAGTAGCGGCATCAGGCTGAATGCAGGCATCAGGCCGAGTAGAGGCTTCAGGCTGAGTAGAGGCTTCAGGCTGAGTAGAGGCATCAGGCTGAGTAGAGGCTTCAGGCTGAGTAGAGGCTTCAGGCTGAGTAGAGGCATCAGGCTGAGTAGAGGGCATCAGGCTGAGTAGAGGCATCAGGCTGAAGAGAGGCATCAGGCTGAAGAGAGGCTTCAGGCTGAGTAGAGGCTTCAGGCTGAGTAGAGGCTTCAGGCTGAGTCACGGAAGGCAGGTCCATCGGTTTGGATACTGGCAGGATGGTATTGGTTGGAAAGAATTTTCGCTTTTTTTCTGGTTTTAACTACTGGAGCACTGCAAGTAAACGCAGGTCTGCAAACGAATGGAGCAGCTGGAGACAGAGAAAAACTGGAGGATGGAACAGGAGAGGGAGCAGTTGCTACAGAGGGCTTTTTTACAGGGTTAAAGGCAGGATAGGTGCAGCGAGTGGGAACAGGGTACTGACATGCGGTAGATAGCCAAGTATACTGGGCTGTAACTGGAGGAGCTGGTGGGAATACAGGAGTAGAGTTAGAAGCAGGACTGGGTTTTTGTAAGCTGACTGAGGCTGGGTGCAACAAGTCTGTCCATGTCTGCAGTATGGGTTGAACAAAGCTGAGCTTACACAAAGCCTGTCTGGTCAATGACTGCACTGCGTTTATACAATCTCTTAGTGTCTGTGGTGAACATGTGGAATAACGCTCCAGAAAGTAACCCACATCATCCTCTAATAACCACACCAGGGACTCTACCTGGTCTGCACTAAATGGTGGCAAAAATTCATCCCTGCATTCGGGGGAACCAGATGAAACCAACTCAGCACAAACCTCAATCAAAGGCTGCACCTCAGAGAACTCTGTGCCCTGATCTACTAGAACATGAGCGAGCCGTATACATTCTAGTAGTTGATCCCTGGGATACTCCTTCAGAGTTTGATAAGCATACTCCCTGTCATCAAACACTAGCAGATATAAATACACAACCTCATCCAGATCCATCCTTCCCAGCAACAAGCCAAGATGGCTTCCCTGTGCAGCCACTTCTGGTCAGGATTGGCCTTGGTGTAATGTCAGGGCTCCCAGGTATGACCAGAGATGTGTGACTGACGCAGGGAAACGCAGACTTCAGATATGGATAAACAATATAATTTATTAACACTAACAATACAAACATAAACGCAGTGCAATACTAAACATAATACAGTGCAAACAAACCAAACCAACCACCCACAGATAACAGTACATACAAGCAAGCGTCATCAGGCAGGCCGGGTCAATATCAATTGGGCAGGTAGGTACAGGGGGAGCAAGCGGAGAATGGTCGGGGTCACAGGCCAGGTTCAGCAGGTAGCAAGCAGCGTAGTACAGAGGGTCAAGCAGAGGGATGGTCAGGGTCACAAGCCAGGGATCAGAACAGGTAGCAAGCAGCGTAGTACAGAGGGTCAGGCAGAGGGATGGTCAGGGTCACAAGCCAGGGATCAGGACAGGTAGCAAGCAGCGTAGTACAGAGGGTCAGCAAAGGAACAGAAACAGGATGCAGGACAGATACAGGGCCCAGACAAACACACACCAAGGCAGAGTCTGTGGGTCTGGGCATCCCTTAAATACCCCAGCATAATCAGTTCCAGGTGTTAGCTGGCTGCAAAGTTGAGTCTCTGATTGCTGGGAGCACCCGCTGGCCAGCCCTGGTACTGCAGATCAAAAGGCAGGTGAGTCCCACCATTGCTGGCCAGTCCATTCCTGACATTGGGACTTGGTGTCATCCTTTTTTCATATGAGGTACCACTTGTACATGGACAAATTTTATTCAAGCGTGCCACTATTTAGACATTTGGGAAATGAGGAATTGATCGCAGTGAAGTGGCAGGACAAACGGGATGTTTTTGTGCTGTCTTCCATTCACGTAGACACGACCATCCAAATTGCTACGGCAGCTGGTGTTGTTGAGAAACCCCTCTGTGTCCACGACTATAACCTTAACATGGGAGTGGTGGACTTCAACAACCAGAAAGATGAAGCCGTACGTAGTTTCCCGAAAAGCCAGGCGCTGGTAAAAAAAAGTGTCTATTTCAATTGGCTCTATATAATGCTTTTTGTGCTTTGCAAAGCAACTGGACGAAGCACCAGCGGCATAGTACACATCCTGGTGTTTTACATACCAGCACTGCAGTATCACTTGGTGATGTGGCGAGTCCCATAAGTGCAGTACAACTGGTGCTGTGGTTAGCCGTGGTGTCCCGCAGCCACCAAGAATTCAAAACACAGGCCCGTAGAGCTCCTATTGTCCGTCCGGATGTGCTTTCAAATCCTGATTGGCAGCCCACAAATTCTGCAGCACCCGTATTTCTCCCATTCACTGCCCAACCCAGAATTCAGGTGGAAACAGAAAATTTAACTACTCTAACATTCTCTGCTGCCATGGCCAGGAGAATATAATGCGACTTATGGATTTTAATGACAATATACTCTGTCGTCCTCAGGGTGACCCTGGATATAATAGACTCCACAAAATTCGACCCCTCGTAAATCACCTTAGCCAGAAATTTACAGATGTGTATACTCCCCAGCAAAACATCTCTGTTGAGTCCCTCATTCATTTTTTCTGGCCACCTTGCATTCAAACAATTTTCTTCCCAGCAAGTGTGCCAGATATAAGGTCAAAATATATAAGACCTGGGAGAGGGCAACAGGCTATACATGTAATTCTCGGATTTACGAGGGTAAAGATAGTCATGTGGAGCCCCTCGGATGCCCAGACTACATGGGGAGCAGTGGCAAGATAATTTGGGACTTTTTTCATATGGGGTACCACGTACACGTGAACAATTTTTATACACGCGTAACACTTTTTAGACATTTGTACAATCTTGGAACTGGAATATGTGGCACTGTGCGACCTAATCACCGGGGGGCTTCCCCCAACAGTTTGTAAATACCCAACATAGAAAGGGGGGAGAAGCCTGCTTGAAAAATGATGAATTGCTCACAGTGAAGTGGAAGGACAGATGGGAATGTTTTCATCCTGTCTTCCATTCACACAGACATGACCACCCAATTTTCCAGAGCAACTGGTGTTGTTGAGAAGCCCCTCTGTGTCCATGACTATAACCTTAACATGGGAGCGGTGGACTTCAACAACAAGATGATGAAGCCGTATGTAGTTTCCCGTAAAGCCAGATGCTGGTACAAAAAAAAAGTGTCTGTATATTTATTTCAGTTGGCTCTGTACAACACTTTTGTGGATTACAAAGCAACTGGAAGCAGATCCTTCCTAAAATTCCAGGAAGAAATCATCATGGTCCTTTTGTATCCGAATGTGCTGTTGCCCAAAACCCCCAACACAGATGCAGTTAGCCGGCTGCATGAGAGGCATTTTCCCAATGCCATTCCTGGTACCTCAACCTAAACGACACCCCCAAAAAAGATGTGTCTGTAGCAGACATGGAATTAGGTGTGACACCCGCTTTTTTTTGTCCCTCCTGTCCTGGTCTCTGCCTCAATGACTGCTTCTGTCGTTACCACACACTAGTGGAGTATTGGTATAGGGTGCAGCATGGCACAGTTTCAGGACAAATATTTACATAGGGTTTCGAAAGATGTTAGGTAGTCAGGAAACCCTACAATCTGTTTTAAAAAGTTAAAGTTTAAAAAAAGTTAAGAAGAACATTAAAAATAATAAGTATAAGTCCCCAAAAAAACAAACGGAAAAAAACAAAAATAGTTATAGTTTTTTTGTTGTTGTTACTGTTCTACTGTTACGATTTTACTGTTTTATTGTTAACCATTGCTGTTTTTCTTTGTGGGAATGTCATTCAGCTGCAGCACCGACTTGTTTATTCTGACAGCAACAGGGTCTTGCTCTCAGAATATACATAAGTAGGTGTGTGCAATGGATGAGATTTTTCATATGCAGTTAAAAAAAGAGCATATATGTGGAAGCATGGGGGCCTGGGGTGGCAGTGGGTGGATGGACCCTATGCTTCGCATATATATTTTTAATATATTTTTTGGCACATTTCATGTGTGCCCAAGTGGGTGGATGCAGGGCGATATATTGTGATGGTGAGCATACCACACTCTGTTTTCTGGCAGAGATGTTCTACTCTTTTTTCCATTCAGCCCATAGGCTGCATAAAAAAAAAAAAAGAACAAAGCATATACACCCAACAAGGACCAGCGACGTACTGGTACATCACTGGACTTTGAGTGGTTATACCAGGATGATGCCTGCAGCTGTATGCATCATCCTGGTAATTTTTTTTTTTCAGCTGGCGATCGGCTATATGTAAAAGCAATCCTAGTGGCTAATTAGCTGCAGGGTTTGCTTTTACAAGCAGCGGGAGAAGATACCCCCTCCCCCGCTGCCTTCCACGGCCTTCTCGGGCAGTCCCTGTGCCATTGGGGAAACTTGAGAACACAGTCGGTGTTTCTGGCAGCTGACCATAGAGCTGAATGGAGACTGGAATGGTGCCAATCATCTCTATAGTCTAAGAAATCGGAAGCTACAAGCATTTCATCACTTCAGTTTCAGAGGATATAAACAGCGCCATTTGTAAATTGGTGAAAGCACTGATCACACCGATCGTTGGTGAAATTTAGATAATGTAAGGGCAGAGGAGATATCTAGAGTCTGATAGACCCCAGATTTCCCAAAAAAAGAATATATGACAATGCCCATTGAAGTTATAGGGATATTTGCAATCCCTGTGATTAAAAGTGATGAAAAAAAAATGAAAGGGACAGTGTAAAAAATAATTGAAAAATCAAAATAACTAAAAATGAAAAAAAGCACCCCCCCCCCTTGCAAAGTATGTAAACAGCGATTGCAGCATGCATGTGAGGTATCACCGTGAACATCAGATCAAGGGCAGTTAATTTTAGCACTAGACCTCTTCTGTAAATCTTAAAATGGTAGCTTGTTAAAGGCTTTTAAAGCATTGCCTATGGATATTAAAAATGTATGCAGTTTTTTCTCGGCATTGCATGAGGGCAGCG